CTCATGTAGTCAAATAATCTATTACATGACATGTTATTTCAACGTGTGACATGATTAAATTGCATCATTAATCCTTTTTATACTTTTTTAATTGCAGCTGCGGTCGGAGACGGGTTTATAGCACGTGGAATAACGTTTAGAAACACGGCGGGTGCAAACAACGCACAAGCGGTAGCTCTAAGATCCGGATCGGATCTATCCGTTTTCTACCAATGTAGTTTTGAAGCCTACCAAGACACACTCTACGTTCACTCAAACCGCCAATTTTACCGCAATTGTGACGTTTACGGAACAGTCGATTTCATCTTCGGAAACGCAGCCGCCGTTCTCCAAAATTGCAACATTTTCGCAAGACGTCCACGTAATCGTAACAACACAATAACCGCTCAAGGAAGATCTGACCCGAATCAAAACACGGGTATTATTATCCACAACTCTCGGATCACGGCCGCTTCGGATCTTAGACCCGTTTTAGGATCCACCAAGACTTATTTAGGTCGACCTTGGGGACAATATTCAAGAACGGTCTTCATGAAGACTTCACTTGATAGTTTGATTGATCCACGTGGATGGTTAGAGTGGGATGGTAACTTTGCTTTGAGTACTTTGTTTTATGCTGAGTTTCAAAATACGGGTCCGGGTGCTTCAACTTCGGGTCGGGTTACATGGCCTGGGTTCCGGGTCCTTCGTTCTGCTTCAGAGGCTTCGAGGTTTACCGTTGGTAGTTTTATCGCCGGTAGTTCTTGGATTCCGCCGAGTGTACCATTTACTTCTGGTCTTTGAAGAATATATATTTGATTAATTCAAATATTATATGGTATATATGATGCAAAAGTTGTATATATACGACGCAATTGATTGGTTTATTACAAAGAATAAAAATTGTTTGTTATAATATAGAATTGGAAATTTCTGTATAATTATATAGTACTTTCATGTAATTTCGTTTTTTTGTATTCTTTAAATATATTGTATTGTGTATTTCTGATATATTGCCTCATTGCTGTAGGCCTTATTATAGCCCATTAAGCTTCTCTATGACCCAAACCATGACCAAAAAGATTTTTTATAAACCAAAAAGGATTTTTCATGTAGAAGTTGTACATGAGATGAAAACATATATAGTAGAGTTTCTCACGTTACGTATATGGACTAAAACAACTAATGATTAAAGACAATACAAAGATAAGTGATCTTTGAAAGAAAAGAAAAAAACAAAGATAAGTGATTTACATTTTTATATCAGATTTTTTTTTTTTTTTGAAACTTTTTTATATCAGATTTTAACATACGGATATATAACATAATTTGTAATTTTATATACTAACGTTTGAAATATTTAGCTAATTACGTTTATATATAACAATAATATACGTTCATCCAATAAAATTTCATATAAAACATTTCTCCTACGTTAACTATTATTAGCCTTGTTTTAAAAAAAAAAAAATTATTATTGGCCTCGTGCAGCAACAAGTTGGTATTTTACTTGTATATGGACTAAAACAACTAATGGTTACGGCCACATACACGCAAATTAATGTCAACGTGATAGATAAAATCTTAAAATTGGACCAATCTACTCAGAAAACTATAAATCAACCTATGAAAATTCTTTGTCTCATTATGGATCTACGACTGCTACTAATACACCTGAAAAGGAAATATCTCACTGGATCTCACCAGTATGCATTTGCATGTCAAGTGGAGAAAGATATCCAAAATTCAAAATATTAATTATTCTAAGAAGGCAAGAACCGTGGCATGTATCATTTCCATAAGATTATATAGTTTTTATTTGCATTGCCCGAACCCGTACGTCGTTTCTTATTTACTTTGTAACTAGATTTTGTCCCGCGTCAAGCACAAGATTAAATGATTGCTAAATTGATTAATCGATTTTAGTATATAATTTTTTAACATTTAAACATATTTTACAAAATATATGATTTCATATCTGTAAATATATAAAAATGATATGTATTATGCATAAATATAATAAAATTGAATAAATTTGTTCAAACATATGTTAATGTTATCAGTTTTAATATTTTTATTTATAAATTGATCAAAACACATACAAATATTATTTGTTTCATTATCTTTTAAATAGAAAATTGGTCTTTATTGTTAGTGTAAATTATAGAACATACGAAAAATTAGATAAATTTTAGATTTATATTAATTTGTCGGACATAACAAACAAAAGCAATATATGTTTTCCAATAATAAAATGAATAAATATTTGTAAATGTGATTAAATATATATAGTAGAGTACATATCATAATAAAAATATTTTATAGTATATTAATCTAAATACATATATACATAATAGATAATTGTTATAAATATAATAATAAAAAACTTATTGATATATCATAAAAATTGATGTAATGCTAAGTAAGTTTAAAATATTACATTTAGTTGGGTTTAAAAACTTTAGAACATGTATTAATGTATTTATGTTAAAAAATAATGAGAATGTGTAGAGAATTTCTATTATGGCATACTTTTAATTGAAATATTTTGATTGGTCAAATTAAATGATTTGTCTCTCAAATTGCTCATTGATTGACTCATATGATTTTTTTTAGTGTCTCCTCAATTAATATATACAGAATATTTGTTTGAACATTCAAAAAATGTAATAGAAAAGCAAAATATATAAATGAGAGAAGCTATTTTGTTTGATATCAAACCACATCGCATTATAATTGACGTTCGTTTTAGATTTGAACATCTTTCTCATCAAAGTGTTTCGTGTTAAAATTAGACATAAAAACCACAAAACTTTTTCCTTTTATAACATTTAACAAGTCATTCTTAAATAGTATACGAAATATGGAGTATAGAATTACTTTTTTGTAGGTGATCATCCGGGTAAATTCGACTAATCTCACGGATATGCAAATCCATGGGACACATATATACCATGTTAGACCTCTGGATTTGAAGGACGAGAACCTCCGATACCATACTATTAGGATTTCACATGATCCAAACGAAACTTATAGCCTATACTAACCCATAAAAATTGCTCCAAGTTCCGAATGAGAATCGAATCCAAGCCTTTGCGCGTCGACACCCTAAAACTAGATTGTCATTTTTCAAGCAACCACCGATGGATAACGAAAATTTTCCAACCGAGAAGATTTGAACCTAGGATTTTCCAAAATGCTTTGCATGTATCTACTAGAATATGGCCTCTACAACGTATATACTTAATGGGAATAAGCAAGCAACAAACAAATCTTGAGTAGACCCATATATAGAGCGAATAGAATCGTGTTACACTTTTCCTTTTGGGGTTTCATCATAATCAAAAGACAAATTACCAATTACCCACCAAGTGTCCCCATGCTAATCCC